GATTTTCTCTCAACTCTCTCTCAACTCTCTCTCTCATAAAGAGGAGTTCAAATTTTCAACATTTTTGTCCTAACTTTTGATCTCAAATCAATGTGTTGTATTTTATATTTTATGTTATTTTTGTCACAACCTTGTCATTGTTGTCAAAATTGACTTTTATTGAAACTATTAGATTAGATGGCCAAAAAAATGAAGAAAATTAGTATGCAGAATGCAGTGTAATATGAAAAAGTTATTTGATATAATTCTTGTTTTTAATGGGAAGGCTTAAATGTTAAATGTTTAAAGAGAATAATTGCTAAAATAAGAAAGTATGACCATGATAAAAACAAAAACAAAAACAAAAACAAAAACGTAGTCAAATAAATATATTATAATAATGAAGATAAAAATAACCATCACAGTTAAGCAATTCAAATGTGCATGTTGAAAGTATCAATTGCTGAAAAAAGTTGGCTGGGATTTTTATGTTTTTCTATTGCAATGACTAGCTAGTAATTAATTTAGAATATTGGTGGCCTCTTGTTTGATGGCATATATCCTTCAAGTGAAATAGATTTCGTAAACATTGTTACTCATCCCTATATTAAAATGTCAATACTGCAAAATTGAAATTGAAATTCATATCAAATGGCAAACATTTTTTTTTCTTTGCTGCAATATTTTACTGGTCAATTTCTTTTTTCTTTACGGGTCTCTGAATCCTAACTAGCTTTTTACTGTTTTCATTGTGCCTTCTATTTTGCAGCTGGTGAAAGGACCCAATAGAAGGCCCAAAACAATTGTGGGTATGATTTCTATTTGCTTTTCTCACTCAGTTTTCACATTTTTTTTTATTTCTAAAATATCTTGTCTTGTTAGTTGATAATAATATTTATGATAAAAATGTTACGGTAGTTTTAATTCTTACTAATAAAAAAAATTAGTAATGTTTATTACAGCAATTTTAATGAAACATAATTTTATTTTCTTTAAGCAATTTCTTTAATCTTGTGATCTCAATTAAAAAAGTGTCACTTAAAAAAAAGCATCATCAATCAGAATTATTTTATTATTGCTCTAGTGAATTATTATAGTGATATATGGTAAGAGAGAGAAAAACAACATTAAGATGCAATATGTAGGAGCACTCAGAGCAGTAACAGGGTTAATAGATTTCTATGGGTGCTTATTACATGCAATACATTAATTAGCTTAATAATATAGTAAACACGGGGCAACATAAAGCGTGCTTTTGATTTATATGATTACTAAACCCACATAAATCTAAAACTTTTGATACAGTTGTTTTTGGGGCCAAATGAGAAACTAACATTAATATATATGATTCTGTTCTTGTACCCCTTATTATTATTCAGTTATTAAATTCCAGTTAGTGGACAAAAAGGTAGAACCAAAAGACAAGTGTATGCACATTGTAGGTCCTCCTAAATACAAATCAGGGGAAATTTCTTTGCTTTGATCAAATCCAAGTCACTGTCGTGGTAAAATTTGTATTTGAATACGTAATTGATTACAATAAAAAAATACACATGAAAAGCGTGGTTAAGATGTAAAGCCTAACCCCGCTAGCCAGAGGTTTTAGCTATAACAAAAATAGTTCCCTTACGTCTTGTTTTATATTCATTATTTTTTATACAAAAAATTAAAAATAGAATTATTATTTAAATTCTTTGAAATTTTTTTATCCTGATTTATAGTATACTCCTTATCTTTTATATAAATTATAGTTCATTTTTTTTATTAACAGATCGAGATTCTTTTTATTAAATTGTTCTAGTGGACGTTGTACTCTAACTTAGAGGAAACAAATTGTTTCACCGTACTTCTAAGGTATGCTAGTTAATTTTCTTTTTTGTATTAATAGATCGAGGTGTTTATGATTAAAGTTTACTATTTTGTAATATGACTATATTGTGCTTTACATAGAACTATTGTACTGCTTTTCAAGTTATATAATGTAGAGGTCCACGTAATTAAATTAGTTGACAATTATATAATATGTGATAATTAATTAGGTAAATTTTTTGAATCTACAGAATATGGATTATTTTGTTTCAAATCGTGCTTGGGTGTACGATAGGTGTTATAGTGGTAGAAGAGGTTTGAAAGAGTCTTTTGTACAAGGGGTAGATGAGTTTGTAAGCAAGGCTCGTCAACAAGATCGTTTTCATAGTGATGGTGGGATTAGATGTCCATGTGTTAAATGTGATTGCACACGGATTTTGGAGGATAGAGTTGTGAAAGTTCACCTTTATAAACATGGGTTCAAGCCTAATTATTGGATTTGGACAGATCATGGTGAAGAGATGCCAAATTTTGATTTAGATATTGATGAAAATTGCATCAATGCATCAAGTAGTGGTGTAAATGTGGCACAAGGTGATCAGTTTATGTCAATGCAAGAGATGGTGTGTGATGCTTTTAGGCAACAAGAGACATTTGAACCGAGAGATACACATGACATGGAAGAGCCTCCAAATGAAGAAACTCAAAAATTTTATAACTTGTTGCTAGAGGCAAATAAGCCATTGTAT